CTGGATGGTATATATATATAATATAATAACTAAAAAATGTAATCTAACCATGCTTAATGAAATATAAGCATACCAAAATGTAAATCATCATGTTTAGAATCACTAACTAATTGTAGAAAGTGTATCGGGTCGGGTTTAAAAACTCAACAATCCAACTCAAAATGCCCGGCCGATAATCTCGATAAAAAAGCCTTACTTATCGGCCGATAAGTACCGATAACTCGCCGATAAACTCTCCAAAACGATAACCTATTACAAAACTAACTTATCCTAGCGGAGAGCTCTTAAATCCGATAACTCGGCCGATAATATCGGCCGATATTTAAAACAATGCTTTTTAGGGATTCACCAAACAAATTAAGTCGAGAAAATAATCTTCACAGAACCAAACTCCAAAACAAACCAATCAAACAATCTCCTTGTAACCGATCTTCAAAATCTAACAAACAAATAAATAAAACAATATTGTTCTGCATCAATCTCAAATACGTCAACCTAGCATCCCCCAGTACCACCCTTTCGAACCAACCATATCAAACACCTCTCCTCCATACTCAAACAAGTCAACTAGTACGTAACAAAGTCCAAGTCCAACTTCAAAGATCAAAATAAAACAAATCACTTTGAAATTCAACTCCAACCCCCAAGAAACAAAATTCAAACCAAATCTTCATTCAATCAAAATCCTTTTTTTTTCTTTTTTCCTTTTACTTGTGTTTGTTTTCCCCCTTTCCTCTACTTTTTCTTTCCTTTTTTTACTTTCCTCTTTTCTTCGTTTCCTTCTTCTCTTCTTTTTTTTCCCTTTCTTTTCTTTTTTTCTCACTTTTTATCAGTAACTAATGGTGGTCAATGTTTTCTCAAAGATAATTAGTAACAGCGGTGGTGTCGACAAGTTGCATAGGTAGTGTGAATGAAGGCAAATCGGGGGGGCGTATGCGATAACAAGAACATGTACATCGAGGACGAGAGGAAGGAGTTTGGTGGTGAGGGATTGGGGCTAGGGTTTGTGGATGTTTAGGGGTGTCTCTAATACAATATTGAAAATAATTCTTAGGAGTTAGAGACTCGACTCAATTGTAGAGTCCCACCGATCTCTTATATTTATACTATTAGGATATAAACACATTAGCTAGGAATATGTTAAATAAATTCTTGGCATATTCTTTTATTCTCTAAGATAGATCTCTAATATCTCTCTACTACATATTCCTAATATATCATTCCTAGTATACTAATACTACTAATATATTCATTAACAAAATTAAAATTATCTATAATTAGAATATTTTAATAATAAAAAATTTGCTTAAACAAAAGTATTCTAATAAATTTAAGGAAAAACAATTTATGATAGAAATTTACAAACAACACCTTACAGAAAATAATCAAAAACTTCAAAATTAGAAATAGCAAAAAAAGGGAAAATTTCAAAATTGCGAACATACCTTAAAAATTTTAAAATGATTAACCTATCGAAAATGTTAAAAACATAAAAAACAACTCCTCTAAAAAAATGAAAAAAAAACAAACCCCCTGAAAAATCTATAATTACAAACAAACCCATGACATTGAAATTACAAACCCATAAAAAGTCCACGAATTACAAAATAGCCCCTAAAAAAATAAAAACACAAACAACCCCTTGAAAAATCTAAAAATTACAAATAGACCCTTAAATTTTAAAAATTACAAAGAACCGTAGAAAAATGAAAAACTACAAACAACCTCTTGAAAAATCTAAAAAATACAAAGAACCCCCTTTAAAATTTGGAAATACAAACACCTCCTAAAAGTCTAAAAATTACAACCAACCCCAGAAAAAAATTGAAAATTATAAACAACATCATTAGGGTTTTCTTGCCATTTAGAGCAAAAAAGTTTCAGAAATTAGCGGTTTTCTATCGAACCTTCCCATCCCAAAAAAAATTGCCACTTAATCTTATATTCACCTAAGAATCCTAAAAATATTAAAACTACCCACAATTAGAAAGTTCCAATACTCAAATATTTAGTAATCTTATTCAAATCATAACTACCCATAATTAAAAAAGTTTTATTCTAATAAGTTTAAGGGAAAAAAAGACAGGTAATGATAGAAAAATACAAACACCCTGCAAGAATAAAAAAACTACAATCCACCTGCCAAAAAAATAGAAATTGCAAATTAACCAATGAAAAATCGAAAATTGGAACCATAGCCTAAAATTGAAAGTCATAAAGAACACCCTGAAAAGTTCAAAAAATAACAAACAACTACCTTGAAAATCTAAAAACAACAAACCCTGTTTAAAACCTATAAATCACAAATGATTACCTGAAAAATCTAAAAACTACATACAAGCCAGTGATATGAAAATTACAAACCACCCCATAAAAATAGAAAAAATTGCAAACAGGTCCCTAAAAATAAGAAATTACAAATGACCCCTAGGAAAATCTACAAATTGCAAAACATCCTTAAAATTCAAAAAAATACAAAAAAATGAAAAATTAAACAACTACAAACAACCCTCTGAAAAATCTAAAAGTTACAAAGAACCCCCATTCAAATCTAAAAAGTACAAACACCTCCTAAAAATCCAATAATCACAAACAAACCCCTGAAAAACTAAAAATTATAAACAAGTGTTATTAGGGGTTTTCTGTCAGATAGAACAAACAAATTTCAAAGTTGATGATTTCTTATTGAAGCCACAAATCTTAAAAATTTGTCACATGACATTTATAAGCATGATGTGTAAATACCTAATCGTATCAAAATATGACATGCGGACACCTAATCATATATTCACCTAAGAATCCAATTAAATTAATACTTATCCATAATTAATTCCAACAATCAAATACTTGGTTATCCTAATCAAATCAAAACTATCCATAATAAAAAAAGTTACGATAAAAATTGCTCGCCCTAAAAGATCAAAAAACTACAAACTACCCATTGAAAATTTTAAAAATACAAAAAAAAAACCGTCAGACCCTAAAATTTCAAAAGTTACAAACAACCTCCTCTCCGAAAATTCCAAAATTAAAAACACCTCCACCCAACCCCCAAAAAATTGAAAATAATAAACAAGCCCTTTTAAAATCTTTAAAAAAAATACAAACAACCCCATGAAAAAATTTGCAAACTACTGATAAATCGCTGATATGAAAATTACAAGCAACCACATAAAATTCAAAAATTACACAGAACCTCATGAAATAATGCAATTGCAAGCAACCCCCTAAAAATTTGAAAATAGCAAATAGACCCTTAAATTTTGAAAATTACAAATAACCCTTGAAAATAAAAAATATGAAAACTCCCTAAAAAAATCTAAAAAGTAAATATTACAATTTAATAGCTCAAAATTACGAAAAAACTGCAGAAAAATCTGAATTAATAAACATTTTTCACTAGGTATTTTTTGATGAAAGTTATTCAGGCTTAAATGATAAAATTTAAAGCTTATGGGGGCTTTCTGCTAAAATTTATTGTAGGGTAATTTGGTTATTTGACCACACATGAAGTAACAATATTAAATTTCAAGGTTTTCTACCAAAAGTTATTTAAGGATTCAATCCCAAAAACCCAAAGTTATAAGTGTTTGAATTTATATGAATCTCAAATTCTTTTAGATGTTAGATTGGTAGTTGCAAGTAAAAGTCTTATATCTACTGAAAAATAAATTAGCGGTTATTATTTTGGCAACGTACCTTGGTTGTCAGATTAACATGAGACTAAAATCGTAAATGGATAGGAGAATCAAGTGAAATACATCATAAATAAGAAAATCAGGATCTACTACTCTGTGAGTGAAAACTTTTTAAAGAACAAACTAAACTAAATAAAGGGAAGAGATGGAAAAAAAAGTAGTTGCAACCCTCGCTTAATATATAAAAAGAGATTTGTGATTTACTATTAGTCATACATCTCAAAAAACTAGCACACGCCCCTCCTAATTTTGATTTTAAAATTTAGAAAGAAAAAATAACCACATGCTTATTTAGTGAACTAATTTTTTCTTTTTTTAAATTTATAATATTAGAAAAAAGAGGATATAAAGGAGGGGTTGGTGATTAAGCCATTAGCCATATAATTTTGAATTTCAAATTTTTTAAGTAAAAGTCATCCTCACCCTTGTTTTATATTTCCTTCATGAGAAAAAGAAGTTTCAGCTCAGATCGGATTTATAAACAAAATAAATCAGACCCACCTGTGCAAGCACGTGCGTAACACTTGCTAGATGTATATAAAACAAGTTTTGATCTTATTACTTGTATACTCAATTATATAAAACAAGTTTTAATTTAAAACACTCCACATACACTTGTTGGATGTATATTCTACACTTCACATATATTTCTTATATATTGATTTTATGTAAATGAAAAAAACAATATTAACCTAATGTAAATTATTAAATTTAATACATATAAATTTAGATAACATGCATATATATAGTTGTGTCCCCATACCCTACCTTTTACAAATTTACCGCGTCCCATAGCCATACACATACCCGTATCATACCCGTACTGTACCCATGCAACCTAAACCTGAAACCAACTATAAATTTTCTGTCAACCAAAATTTTCTGACTTGCATCTGGTAATAATAGAAGTTAAAATGGACATAAAAGGGTGATTTAGTTGATATGAGTCAGATTTTCAGAAAACCAAGCGAAGCTCATTAGTTAATACCCAAACATCAAATTGTGCTTTTATTGTTCCCCCTCTTTTTGGCTTCTTGGGTTTTTTCTGGATGAGTGCGGGTAGGGTGCATCTGAAGGGGTTGTGTGTGGTGGCGATGAGGGCGTAAATGAAAGAGAGGTTCACTCATTCTGAAGCTTAGGAAACATCTTGAACCTCATGTAGTCGTGCACATGCAAATATATGCCAGTAGCTAGTGTCATAAGTATGTAATTGACCTTCATAACAAGACATTGAAACATATAATCTGATACTGTTTGGTCAAAAGAAATAAGCAAAATTCGGGCAGAAATGAATAACCGTACAGCTTGTAGCAATGATGTTGTAATGGGAGGTGCCAACCGTCGCTGACTTGGGCCTCCAAGTCTTCCTTTAATAGCACTAGGTAATTGAGAGTCAACTACTACAGAACCTGACCAAAATATTGGAGAAACTAACCTGGAGAAGGACACAACTTCGTTCTGCAGTCAAAGCATACGACTTCATTAGTCCAATCCCATTTTCAAGAGAACAACCACAAGTATTGTAAGTAAAACATGAACAGCCAACTTCTGCAGCTTTTACCATTATAAACAAAAAAGGCCTGAGAAAATTTTCACAGTTGGGAGAAGTTAATACAACAGATGAACACAATTTGCTTGTCTCCTGAAACTCTCTCCCAACTTTAGCTTCATAACAGCTTGATAATTTTCTCCATTGAATTTGAATTTCTTCAACAAGACCTTGAATAAGAATGAGAAGCTTAAGA